ACTCAAAACCAATAAAGAAAACTACAAATTTGACAGATCATAAGTCATGAAAAGACAAAAAAATATGGGTTTTAGAACAAAATTTCAACTGTTTACCATCTTTCTTGTCCAGAAACTCAGATTAAGGTTGAAATAATACATGTATATATATATATATATATATATATATATATTTCAAAAAAACCTAAGAACATATTAATTCAAAATATATTATACAGTGCAATTTGGATAGCCTAACCCTAAAATATATAGTATATATATAAATAAGTAACTATAAAAGTATAAATCGTAAATATTAAAAATATTTTTTCACAATATATATATATAATATATAATAATATAATAAGTCAAAAACTATTCAATATTGGACTCATTTCGAAGGTATTAACGAGACGATTATAATGGTGTAACTTGTTAAAATAACTATGTATTTTTTAAACATGTTTGAATTGATATACGATTATGTATGTTAATTTGATAAAAGTTTAAAATGAAACATTTAAAAGTAAAGAACGTAAAATAAATAAATTAATTAATTATAGGGGTATAAAGTGTAAATTTAAAATAATAATTTTAAAAAAATCGGTTGTGAGAGGATGAGTGTATGTGAGGGGGTGAGTGCATGTGAGGGGGTGAGTGGATGAAAAAGTGAGTATAAAGGGTATTGTGGTCATTCAAAATTTTAAAACTTTAAGACTTTTACTAAATTTGCTTAATAAGATAGTATAGATATTAATTTGAACATATAAGGACCGTGCCAATTTGGACTTGAGACGAGTCTTGTTTTTTGGCGATATCCCTATGACTGATGGTAACATGGTACTGTTCATATAGAATGCAAGAAATAAGAATGGCCCTTTGCTACAATTCCAAGAAGACATATAAGATGTCATAATGGTTACCTTAAGTTCATCATTGAAGTCTTCCTATCTTTCCTCTAGTAAAGGCCATAACAGTTTACTTGATTGCAGCTGCATCCCCATCTTTGATAGTCCCCTGCATCATGTCACCATACACAACAGGAAGTGAGCATACTTTCAATCTTCTTTAGTGCATCATCTACCAAATATTATCTTAAGAAATACAATACAATACGGCAACATCTAAATTAAGCAATCTTGTAAATCGTTATTTGAGAGCTGAATTTGACTTAAAAGTTTCAATACAATCACATACAAATATTATAAGCAATAGCATATGAACATCAAGACTAAAAACAAAGTTCCTATAAAAAAATCCCATCATTTTCTAGCACTAAATTTGGTCAATTCTATCATTAAAACCAAAAGCATTTGAAATTCATCACAACCAAATCCAAACTTAGATTCATGAGATCTAAGCATAATTAGCTACAACAACCAACTCATAAGCTCCTAATTCAGACCCAGATAATAATAACTATAATTATGCAGGGAAACCCTCACACAATAGGGGATGGAGGTGGTAATTGCTAGATAAACCCCGAATTACACAAACAAAAACCAACAAGCTAAGGGGCCGTTTACGAAACACTTACCCAAGTAATGCTTACTAAGTCATTATCTTATAGAATGAATATGGCAAAAACCAAGAATCTTAGCCGGTAAGAGCGAAGACAAGGACCTAGAGTCTTACCCGGTAAGTGAGGGCGATGTCTCTTACCATGATTATCGCTTACTGGGTAAATTGTTGCATAGGATACCGTTTTGGTGGACTAAAACCTAACCCTGTGAGTAAGTGATAGTGTTGAATTTTTGCCGGTAAACGGCCCCTAAGTCAATTTAATGGTTTACGTCACGAAGAAGCAAATTTCAGCGTCAAATCTAAATATCAAAATCTCTCTTTCTAATTCACTAAATCAGAGCATATTATAGAAGAACGAAGAATTGAAATGAATGACATAAACAAAACCTTAATATCGGGCCACAAATGGTTAACACCATCGCTCATGACACCATTTCTTGGGTCTTCCAGTCCTTTTCTCCGACATCACAACCTATTTCGTAACTCCATGTTGATTCAACAGTCAGATTAGCATCCTTTAAACATGAAAACCAAAGAAGAAAATTAATTGTTGGAGAAAATTGAAATCATGAACACAGTACATTGAAAAAGGAGCAAAAATCATTCAAATAACCATTAAAATTTAACTCATCTTCTTCATTTGTCCATTGTCGGTTGAAATTGCCAGTAGAATGTAGGATTTGGCGATTCACATTTGGATACCAATGTTAAAAACTCAGAGCAGAGAATAACATGATAATTTGTGACAATATGACCCTTTTTATCCCAAACAAATCCTGATCCAAACCCCTGTTGCACCTCCAATACATCCAGAGTAAATGCATCCTGCCTAGACAGCATAACTTCACTCAGAAAAAACGAATGAACAAAAAAACCAGTATCTCAACTGAATGAGATAAAAAACGCCCGACATTTTGCATCATATCCATTACCCATCATTTCTACGTTTTTTTATCAGGTGATCCAGCTTAAACTAACATAAAAACGCAAAATAACTATGCAAATGAGCTGGATCATCACAATTATCCTTCAAAAATGATCATTCCATTCCATTCCATTCCATTCCAAATTCCACAAACACAATGAAGGCCACAAAAACAGATATTTACTCAAGTCAATCTCGATAGAATTACCTAGCAGCTAAGTTAGTGATGTAGACAACAGAAGGAGTATTTTCCTGGAAAAGACAAACAGTAGCGAGCTCATCCGTCTGCAACTTCCGAGACGGAGTGACAACAAAAGCAGCAGCAGAATCGACATCGGTAACAAATATAGCGACGAAAAATAACCATCGAAACCCAAACAGAGATGAAGGAAATCAAACAGCGATGAAGTAATCAAACCTGGAGAGATGATAAGAATCAAGAAGGACATCAAAATTGATTCTTTGAAATCGATAAACCCTTTACCTCGGATAAACCAATGGATGATCAGAGATGAAGATAAAGCAAAACTGAAGAGTGTAGACGACCCTAATTGTATGATACATTGAAGAATGAATGGGGATGTTGGATTCCGATGAATAGTCCCTGGGGGTCGCTTTACACGAGGAGTCGATCTTGGGAAGACAAACCAATTTTACTTCATAGGGGTGTTTGGGATTGCTTATTTAAAACTACTTATAAGGTTGTATTTAACAGATTCTAAGATTTTATGCATAAATCAGCAGTACATAATGCATTAAAGGTTGTTTTTAAAACTTTAAGAATCTGTGCATTAAAATGTAGTACTTTATGAAAGTCAAAGAAGTTATTTAACAGGTTTTGAAATATCCAAAAACTTACTTGTTCCAAAAAATTGTCTAATAACTTAATTATTTCAAAACTAAATTCCATTAAAATATAATTGTTGGATATGAACTAAAACCTAAAAGTAAAACCAATGTTATATTTACAGGATAAAGCCTATTTTTTGACTTTTCTCCATTTGCAAAGCAATTTTCTCCACGCAATCCCTTAAGATTTAACCAGTAAAAAATCAAATATTCCCTTCATAATAAGTATTCATAAATTTAAAAATACTAAAAGGGTACTCGCACAATGCAGTGATATATATTTTAATTTTAATATTTCGTTTTATTCTTTATCTCAATCAATGTTATAGTATGGTTTTATGTAATTTAAAAAAAAACGATGATATTTTTATATTTAAATAAGATATAAATTTGAAAATATCATAAAATTTTGACATAAATATATCGATATTAGTATCTTATTAACTATTTAAAATTCCTATTTTTTATGTAATTTTTTAATTTAAATTTTTATTATAATTTAATTCAGGTTCAATAATGAAGTAATTTATATTTGGTTTAATAATATAATTTTCTTATATAGATAATAATTAATTATTTTGTTAGAACTCGATAATTATCCTAATTATATTTTAGATTTTTTATATTTTAAAATGAAATGTTTATCTTGTATTTGATTATGTTTATCTGCAGCTAGTTACACGAATTCAAAGATGGAGCTTTAATAAGTTGTAATTATACATAATTTATTTATAATCTTGAATTTTAAGTAATATGTATCAATATACAATACTTCATACATAAAAAATTGTTTTTAAGAGTTTTTGTCAAATATTTTATAATATAATATAGATATAATTGTTATACTTTTTAATTAATTAAATGACAATTTTATTTTTAAAAATTTTATATTATAATTAAGAATATAATAAGAAAATAGACATTACTAATAAAAAATGAATACTTATTTAAGATAAATTAAAATAGAAATGTTGACACTTATTTAGATACGAAAGAAATATAAAATCTGATTTGAAGCCAAACGCTTCCATTACTTTGAATTTTTTTTATTGTTGTTGTCGGGGTTTTTTATATAATCATAAAAGCTCTGTATCTAATACTTCATTGTGAATGCTCTGACACGAGAAGCAAATACTGGATTTCAATTTTGTCATCTTTTACGGCACAACATTTTGAAACCAGTAACAAAAAAAATTTAATTTTCACAAAACAAAATAAACATTACAAAAAGAATGTAACGCAATAAACCGCATTGCAGGTAATAATACCATACAATCCATTAAAATATTAGAAAAAAAAGTCCTAACAAAATCTAATAACACAATACCATAATATATTTTTTTGCATACATTAATAATAATAATTATTAATAATAAACACTAATTTAATATAATTGAATATAGATTAAATTAATTATTAGATTTTGTTGACCACAAATTCTTGAAGGAGAGACACCCACTCCTTTTGTAGCACATGCAACAATATCTCTTTCGTTTATGCTCATCATCTTCTTTTGTTTCTTCTTTTCCCCCCTCAGTCTCATCCTGCTGTACATGAAAGGTACAACTCACATTACATTCACATGCTTTTCACTTCACCATAATTCAAATTTCATATACATACATATACATACATACATATACATACATACATATATATATACATACATATATATATATATATATATATATATTCATACATATATTTATACAGGCTACAATAATAGACCCCAAGTTGCTATAAATCGAACCATCGGTGTCTTCATATCAAACTCTATCCATCAAAAGGAAATGGCAGCGCCAGCGATGGTGAGAAACATGCAGGTGTTGTTTAAAAACTACATCGATGGATTCCCCAAAGAATCCGATATGGTGGTGAGTTCTGATGCTACCATTTCTCTGAAGCTCCCGAAGAATGAATCTGGTGTGGTTTTGACGAAGAATCTTTACTTATCCTGTGATCCGATGATGAGGAATCGTATGACCGAGAGCTATTTAGGAGCTTACATGGAATCCTTCRCTCCTGGATCGGTATGTCCCCAATCCCCATGGATTTTAGTATGATTCTGCTTCTTTTTTGAATCGGTAAATTGGGGTTGTGTCATSAACTGATGATCCAATTTGGTATTTAGTTTGATCTATAAAAGGCAAAATAGTTTGAATGCAACTGGATCGATTCTGGTGCATCAGATCGGTTCTCGTCATGGGATGAGATGAGATTAAAATGATCAAGTATCAGATATTTTCTTACATTTTTCACCTTAATTTCCATTCTCACACGATCTTTGATCACTACTCGAGCGAATCTAGCCAATGAGTTTCAAGAGGGTTTGGATGATAATTTCTAATACCATCACTTCTAACTTATTATGTTAAATTCAAATTATAATTTATAACTCGACACGTTTAAGAATCTTCGATAGCTTTACAATGATTTTTCTAAAATAAATAATTAAAACATAAATTTTCTAAAAAAAAGTATATTCATTTTTAACATTTTCTTAATTTTAGAGATTTTTATATAAAATATATTATTATAATATCTTCTAATTTATCATCTAATACACTTTTTTAAAATCTTTTTATAAAATATAATAACTCTGTCTCAACGGTGGAATTGAATAAAATAATCATATTTGTCTCCGACCATCAAGTTTTAGGGGCCGTTTACCAAATGCTTACTCGGGTAAGCACTTATCAAGTTACGTTACCTTGCCGGATGAATATGGTAAGGAACAAGAATCTTATTCGGTAAAAGCGAAATAAGGAACGAAAGTCTTACCCGGTAAGTGTGAATGAAAGCTCTTATCATGGTTAGAGCTTACGAGGTAAATTGTTGCATACGATGCTGTTTCCATGGACTAAAATCTTACCTGGTAAGTAAGCGATAGTGTTGAATTTCACGGGTAAGCGCTTACCGAGTAAGTGATTAGGTAAACGGCCCATTAGAGAATTCTTTATATTTAGAGTTTTCTCCATGATTCTCTAAGATAGCAAAGTCGTTGGAGTATTTTAGAGAACAAAAACTCATTTTTTTTCTTTCATGTTCGAACCTACAAAACCAACTAATAAATATGTTAAAATTGGCCTCTGCATCTCCAATAGAAGGTTCTTATAAGCAAAAAGTATAAGTTTTTAAAAGAATCACTACCGGAGAGAGTTGTTAAAAAAATCACATTCTGAGTTTTTGTAAAAGAATTTGGTTCTTATCTTGAATTTGGTATGAGGTAATTTTGTTGTTAGTTTTTTTAATAAATTTTATTGATTTTATAATTATTTATTGATGTTGAAAATTTACATGGGACCCACATGAGTTGTGTGAATAAGTCAGATATACTAATAAGCCTAATTAAGCTGCAAGTAAACAACATCTAAATGACTATGATTGTGGGGCGTTCCTAACACCTTTGTGTTCTGTAGCCTTTAGTTGGAGTCGGAGTATCAAAAGTCTTGGATTCAACTCACCCTGATTTCAAAAAAGGCGACTATGTTTCGGGATTCACGAATTGGGAAGAATACAGTGTGGTTAAAAATCCACAACTCACAAAGATTCAACATACTGATGTTTCTCTTTCATATTATACAGGAATCTTAGGTAAAAAACCGATCTATGTTGTTTTATTTTTTGATCTACGTAGTTATGTTCAAGTCTCGTTTGTTTTCTAAATTCATACATGCTTTAGGTATGGCTGGCATGACTGCTTATGTTGGTTTTTACGAAATTTGTGCTGCAAAGAAAGGAGAGTACTTCTTCGTCTCGGCAGCATCAGGAGCAGTCGGTCAACTTGTTGGGCAATTTGCGAAACGTGCCGGTTGTTATGTTGTTGGAAGTGCCGGATCCAAGGAAAAGGTTAGTGGATGCGAGTTATAGTGAAACCGATGAATTATGCCTCGGTTTTCCACCAAATTGTGCTGTTTCTTGAACGTTTCTTTACCATTTTTTCAATTGGTGGTATGGTTTTATTTGGTACTATCAGGTTGATCTTCTTAAGAACAAATTCGGGTTTGACGAGGCTTTTAACTACAAGGAAGAACAGGACCTCACTGCGAYATTGAAAAGGTGAACTATAAATTATGTGAGAGCATCTCTGTAAGATCTCACATTGGTTGAGAAGAGGAATTAAGATTGTCTTATAACGGACTGGATACCTCCTCTATCAAACACGTTTTAAAACCGTAAGTTCAAGTGCGTGGACAAAACGGACAATATTTGATACGGTTGGCCTGAGATGTTAGAATCTCCAGCAAGTTCTTGATAATTTCTCTAAAGTGGAGACAAGATTCAACCCCAACGATATCTTCATTTTGGAGAAACTTTTGGAGGACTTGTTGGAGCAAAAAAAACTCAAAATCTTCATTTCTTCTGTATTGAAAATTTGTTGGAGATGCACTGAAATATCTGGAAACCGCTAACTTTTTTCTTCGTCCTCTTTTTAGGTATTTTCCTGATGGAATTGACATATATTTTGATAACGTCGGAGGAAAGATGCTTGATGCAGTACTTGCCAACATGAGGATTCACGGGCGCGTTGCTTCTTGCGGGATGATTTCACAATACAACAGGCTTCAAGAACCCGAAGGCGTGTACAACCTCTCTCTTGTCATCTTCAGAAGTATTAAAATYATAGGGTTTACATWTTACCATTACCTTCATYTGTATCCTAAGTTTTATGAGTTGATGTTGCCTCTTATTCGAGAAAGGAAGCTTGAGTATATCGAGGACATTGCCGAAGGCATCGAAAAGGGTCCTGCCGCCCTTGTTAGCCTGTTTTCCGGTAAAAATATTGGAAAAAAAGTTGTGGCCGTAGCTCATGACTAGGTCGTTTGCTTGTTTTTCTTTGTGTCGAGATGATTCCTTTGATAAAAAGTGGCAATGTATCATGTTATGATGTTTCTATTTATTTCGATTTGACATTTAATTTTATATATATATATACACACACACACGCTAGTGGTGTACCCGTGCGATGCAGCGCGGGTGAATCACAATTTTGAAACATTAGTTTAGTCTTGAATCATGAGTTTGTGTGGTTATTTTATAAGTCAACTAATATATAAAGTTGAAGGTTAATATGATGTATTAGCAAGATCGATTGGGAAAATAATTGCACGCATATTGAGTTTCTAAACCCATATAAAGTTGAAGGGTTGGGGTGGGGTACATACCGGATCTGAAACCCTTTCTGATATTTTTGCTTCAAATTTCAGTTTACCTCAAGAGAAATAAGAACTTTGAATTTAAATTTGGGTTCGGAATAGAAAACAAACAAAGTGTCAAACAACTTTGGGAAGACCAAGCATACATTTTTCATGTAAATATGACTTACTTAAATCTTAAACTTTGACCAAACAAATGATATGTTTTAAGCATTTGTACATTATGCATAATAGTTTGTACCTAAGAGATTTTTGAATCTCTTGCATAAATTAATAGTACTTTATGCTTTGAGACTTGTAATTAAGACTTTTGGTCTGAATGTTTGTTAATGCTGTATATAGATAATCTATTATAATAAAACCATAAAAAAAAAACTTTTAAATTAAGATAACAATTATAGATTTAATGGTTTGAAAAATATTAAATATTTTTGTAAAGGTGATTTAATCCATAAGGAAGAGATCAAATGCAAACAAAGTTATTTGTACAAACCGTACAAATCTCAGTCAATTAATCATAATTTTAAATTAATTATGAAGGTTGTTTTCTAGTCATTTTTATTATGAAAGAAGTTAATTATGGACATTATGTGATAACCGGATCCTAGTTATCACCCAAGGTAATTAATATGTGATTATCTGATTAAATGATTACGTGATAGCATGATAAATTGATACATTTAGTCATGCTGGTATGTAAAAATTATGTGCATAATGTGATTATGTGTATGAAAATATATACATGGTATATGTACTTGAAATGGATGTGTATATATTTTTATATATATGCATAGTGTATATGTGCATACATGTATGGTAAGAGCGGTTTAACTGCCTTACCTTATTTAGAAAGTATAAATATGAGGGTGAGACCCTCATATCTCTTTTGCTTGCCATTTTTGAAGAAGTGTGTAAAAGTTTAAGGTGAGGTTGACCGGATTGCAAGTACCTGATTTCAAGAAGTTGAATCTCATCTGATTGCATAAGGTGAGTGGTTTTCTAAACTCTTTTGCATAAAATTATTATTAGTTTTGTATGAATCTTGTTTATTTTGGAAAGAAATCAGTCTTTTGTTCTAAGTGTTTTATCCGGGTATTAAACCGGACAAGGTTCGACCGGATTGTTTTAAACCGGACAAAGGTTAATCGATGTATTGTCCGGATTGTCTTAAATCGGTTAAGTGTTGATCGGATTATGATTGGTAAGAATGATTATCTTTTTACACTGAGAAGTAGGAATACGACCAAATGGTRGCCGGATTATTTTAAATCGGCTAAGTATTATGCGGGGTATTGACCGGACTTGTTATCCGGATAAAGATGATTTTGATTTTAAGTGATAAATCGATCAAGCTTTATGCGGGGTATTGACCGGACTTAATATCCTGACAAAGTTATTGAGAATTATTTCCAAGTGTAAATCGGACAAAGTTCATTCTATGTGTTGTCCGGATAGTTGACCGGATTTGAAGTCCGGCTAAGTCAAAGATTGACCGGATTTGATGTAATGTTGTGTTTTCAATAAGAAATGTTATTTTATCATAAAAATGAAGTTTTGAAAGAAATGATTTTGTATTGATAATAATTTCAATGGTTGCGGTTTATTTGAAATTATTCTGTGAAAATATTTTGATGAGGAAATAAGGGTGGCATATCAAGGAGAGGTGTACCATGGGATAAGGGTGGCATATCAAGGAGAGGTGTACCTTTGGATATAAGGGTG